AATCATCGAATTCCAATGTTAGATCGATACGACATTTCATTGGTGCGCGTATGTACGCAAGCACGAGGGGAACGCTGTTGAGCGTGTCGGATAAGACCAAACGTGTCAAGAACGGCAATGGTACTGAGCCGAACTGGTGCTGTGTTGACGTCTCGGTCGCATCGATGACGGAACCCATTTCAGAATGAAGAACCAACGTCTCCAGAGACGGCATCCGGAGTAGGGTGGCAATGAAGTCGTCGATTCCTGACCAGCCAAGACCCTCATCGATGACGAGAGATGTCAAGGGAGCACGGAGGATAGGGATCGATGAGTCGAAGTAGGCGTTCCACAAGTGTAGCCTCCTCAATGACAGAGGTACTTCCGCATTGAACAATTGTGGCGAGAACGTATGTCCGTGAAAGGCAGTGGTCCATGATAAGAATTCGAGAAGGGGAAATACGTGTTCGTCAAGTAAACGAGTAGTCTTCGAGTACTTCTCGTTCCACCAGTCGTCGAAATCTTGGTCGTTATCGTCGTACTCTACGTAGAAGTAGAGGACCATTGTGTCGACTCGATGAGAGTATTGCAGCGCAGTTTGCAATGCATTAAACGAGGTTGATATAGGCTCCCAGTCTTTGCCCCTGAACGCCTCAATCTTGAGAAAGACGGGTAAAGGATGCGAGCGTTGCATGAACGCTTCGACGCATGATGGGTTGTGTCGTAGTGGTGCATGAGTCCATAGCCGTCTTCCGCCAGGACTGAGAGCGATATGCCGCCATAGCTGGCATACGTGAGATATTGAAAGCGCGGTGTCGGCGAGGTAGTTATCGATTGGATGTTGAGGTGTATAGGTGAAGCGTCGGTCTTTGGCAACGCTATCCACGATGATCGAGGTCAGAACCTCCACCGGGAGAATGATGTTCAAGTTGATGAGATTTTCCATTGTTTTATGTAGATCCCCAGCGAACGCGTGAGATGGGAGTTCGGGACAAGTTCAGAAGCGCGACTCGAGTTGACGTGGCTGCGGCACGTGCCGTCACCGCATCGCCGTCCAGTACCAGTGTCGTACGATCTTACCATCGAAACCTAGTGCTCTCATTTGGAAAACCTCGCAGTAAATCACATTCATTTGTAGGTAGATGGGACACCACTCGGGAATAAACAAAGCATGCCGGCTTGCAACATGAGGGGTGTGTAGACTATAGCCACGAATGGCGCGAACCAAACACCCAGTACCTCCCAATTCCACAACGCCTCCTTCACCACATCCGAGAAGTAAAGCCAGCCAAGCGACGGTACCAGGTACACCGCGTACTTGATCAAGCTGAGCAGTGGTGAACTCGAGGGGGTAGCCAATGACAACGGGATCCCGAGGGCGACAGCGAGGAAAGCGGCCAACGAAAAGTTGAGGACAGAAGTGACAGATATGAGTGTGCTCGCCAGGCATAGCGTGATGGCTTTGAGGATGAGATGCGTCCTTGGCGTTCCGACGGGCTGTACGTTCATGATCGTGTGCCCAGTGCGGAGCTCGGGTAGCGCCAAGATGAGGACTACAATGATTTTCAACATTGCCTAAAAGTATTGTGTAAGCATCGGTGCATCAATAGCCGATTGCAGAGGCACCGTACCCTGGCAAAGCTGCCTCCTGTGTACAGTCGAGAGACGGCGAAGTACAGTATCAGTCCCAGCACGTGCGTCAAAGCTACCAGCCGAGCAGCTGGAAGAAGGTCGCGAGATCTCCGTGCCCAACGTTTTGCGCCGCCCGGCTTCTCGACCCATTGCTCGTACCAACCGGCTTGAACCCAGCTTCCGAGTCCACCGAACATGAGAGATGCCCCGACCAAGACGGCACTCGGCAGGTACATGCCGATCTTGAGGAATTGACCGGGATTCGCCATGATGTAGAAGAAGAAGGATGCGTGCAGCCGCTCCAGCAAGTTATTCATCGTGCGCATCGTTGACTCGACGACTCTGTACGAAGTGCATGAGCAAAACCTCCCCATGCATGTTGGTAGAGATCGCACCTGCCGAGAGCATGGAAGCCATGCGGCCCATTGGAAGGTACTGCGTACAGAGTAATCGCGTCTATGCGATGCCTACATCCTATCAGCATGTTACGGCTTTTATGAACAGGAACATGCTCACTGGTGAAACAGCCCGTGTACACCGCTGGGAATCCCCTTTGCTTGATACGTGAAGTGTCTCCAAATATTCCTCGCTCTATAAGCGTACTCCATAGCGACGGGGTTATCCAAGACCGAGGCTGGTATCCATGACGGTAGCCAGTCTTGTAGTTGGCGCCTCCCAGGGAACTCTGAGGGATCTATATGGTCGTACAGGACGACAGGTACGCCGAAGTTGTGCGCGACGACACGAAGAGAATTGATGAGATCCTGGTTTGGTAGGCGGCCGTTGACACCCTCTGCGGCATGTCAGCGCGCGAATGTCCACGTAGAGGCATAGCGTACCTCGAAATACGCCTAGGTGAGAGAACGAGTGCCCGTGGTAGTCGATGTTAAGGGCCGTCCACACCACGCCTTGCGGAAGGGTCAACGGATTTGCGACAAGATCTAGGTAGAGCGTTAGCATGAGTACATCACATCTGGACTAGTCAAGAACCAACTGCTCTGTTGTTCGCCATGATAAGCGCTTAACCAGGCTTGCATGCCATCAAGGTACCCATCGCTGATCACGAATATGAGGTTCTTGGACCAGTGCGAGTACCCCTTCAGGAAGTTGGACAAGGCCAGTACAGTTGCTATACCGCGCAGGTTGTATGCTCCTGTCAAGCTCTTCCAAGAAGCGCTGATCACGATAGCCTCGGTCCCTGAGGCCCGCGGAGATGACAACACGGCATACGCGTTAGTGCCGTTCACCCCCTGCAGGATGGTTAGATATGCAATACGGGGTGACAGTAGGTTCACGCACACCGGTCCCGGTTGTAAATGCGTACGCCTGCAGTTCCGTTGGCAGCCCGAGTTTGGCAAACTCGGTTGTGAAGTATTCAGCTCGTCTGGAGAAGAATGAGCGTCATGCGTTCGTTACAGCGGGATTCACATACGCTTGGCTGGACGCGTTATTATCCCTCAGAGTCTCGAGCTCGGCTAAGTAGTGGTCCGCACGGCCCACGTCGCCCCAGTTCCAGTACGTGTTCACCTGGAATTGTCTATCAATAAGCGTTCATACACCAGTTGCACGCACATACCTGGCCCGGCTGTAACGCGTTCTCGTCGATATAGGTTCGCTGACCCAGCTCGGGATATGGTATGGTTACCATCCATAAGAGACCGGTGACTAATAGTGCGGCTCTGAACGCCTAAGAGCCTGTCGACTCGGCATAAGCGAAAGCGCCTACTGGACGAGTGACAAATTATTCCAGAGGGCAGTAGCCATCTTCTTTCGCCTCTGAATGCGAACGGCGGGATCGCCCTTGAGCTTGCTTCTCAATGTTGCGAGAATGGAAGCCATCGGGCCAACCGAATATGGGTGAACAATGGCCTTGATGGATGGTGGTTAGCGTGAGACCTGTAGACGCGGTGGCGCGCGCGCGTTTCGCCTTGTCGCACCGCGTTCCCGAACGCACTCCTACACGACTTGCCTTATACGCCCATCTTCCTCATTTTCCCTCGTCATTCTCCGCGATGTCTATCGTGGGAACCATGAAGAGAAAGCGAGAGGCCGCACAACCAGGCCTGACTGCTGGAGAGCGCCTAAAACGCAGCAAGCTGACCTCTAATCCCGACATCTGGACATCACCTTGGGGCTGGGTTGGTACCGATGTCTTCGACGCGTCTTTGATCACAAACGACCACCTACTAGCAACGTGCGGATTCCTCCCCAACTCTGGTCACACCCTCTGCGCAAATAAATTGAAGAAGAGCCTTGAGAAGCGCCCAAATACCACGGGACAGACTCCCCCGGCGGAACACGACGATGTCATCGTCATCTCGGAGGACGAGACTCCCAGCTGCAGCAAGCGCTCGTGTCGAAAGAACCCAAACTGTGTCAACTACCTTGGACAGGAGAAATGGGTTGATGCCGGTACGAAGCCGTTCTCAGTAGTTCAACGATAGGCATGCTGATATCGGAACTAGACGAGGCGTTCGATCTGTACTCAACAGCTGCAGGCTTGGGTGGTGATCCTCGACAGTGGGAGAAGAAACCTGGTGTTCCAGTTGGATTGAAGGTACGGATATACCATATCTTTCCCTTGAGCTGCTTACTCAGTTGTCGAAGAACTTAGGCGCCACTTGCTATGCCAACGCAACCCTTCAAGTACGCCAAATACCTCTTCTAGTCTCGCATAGGCTTATATGTGTCTAGGTCTGGTTTCAAGACGTTCGCTTTCGCAACGGCGTATATCGGTGCCAGGCCTCACAGGAGCCGGAAGACGGCTCGAAGGAGGTGACCATTCTTTCTTGATTTACTACGGAGTTTCTCACTCAAATGCGTGCCCAGACAGTGTCAGTATTCCATTTACAGGCGACATTTGCTGCTCTTCAAGAGAGCAAGAAGTTCTGGTACAATCCAGTGCACTTCATCAACTCGCTAGAAGTGCCTCATGAAGTCCAACAAGACGCGGCGGAGTGAGTCTGTATCCCAACGCAAGCCGGCCAGCCTCACTCAATCTTGGTGCATAGGTTCTCCAAGCTTTTCACGGGTCTGCTTGAGACTGTTTTCCACAAACAGACGGACCCTGCGCTGCAGACGCTGCTCGCGCAACAGTTCCAGGGCGAGTTCGTCTACAAGCGCACCTGTCCGGTGTGCAATACGTCCACCACGAGCAATCAGACCTTTCTCGAACTCGACGTTACTCTGGAGGTCGGTGGTCTTTGGAACCCGCTCGACATCCGATCTCACGATATCGAGTAGAATAACGCATCGCTGGAGAGTCGTCTGCGAGCGACGTCTACAACAGAAGGGTGAGCTATGTTTGAGTCTCTTCCGTCATTTTGTGCTCACTCGCGATCTATAGTTGGCCGTGTCCCCGATGCAAGGAGAATCGCGATGCAGTCGAGCGTACTGTCTTACGCAGAGTGCCGCCTGTTCTACACATCTCTCTCATGCGCTTCGCTTGGGACATGTCAACCGGAGACCGTAAGAAGGTCAAGCACAGCATTGCTTTCCCGACATCAATCGACATGGCCCACTTTGTTGAACCTGACCCGGAAAAGCCATCGGACGCCCCTTCGTCTGATATCTACGACCTCCGAGCCATCCTCCTGCACAAGGGCGCCAGTACGTATCATGGACATTATATCTCGCACGTTCGTGAGGCATCGTACGTAGACGGCCACCTGTCACATAAGGGTCGCACTGACGTTCCTGCTAGGACGGATACCTGGTTCGAATTCGACGACGACACTGTCACGAAGATTCGTCCGCCAGGTTCAGATAACGTACCGTAGGTCGCAACTATCTGGCGTCTCTCCCTGTCTGAGTGAATTACAGTGTTCGCACGAACGCCGCCAAGAAGCGTAAGGTGCAGAGGATTGAAGACAGCGACGATGAGGACGAGATCCGCATTGTTGAGTACGCCGTACCGATATAGCATCAGGGTTACACCGCTCATTACCGTCTCAGCCCTCCCCCCAAACCGGACCAGACTAGCAAAGGCAAGGACTCCAAGGACCCTGTCGTCCCTGGTGCCCGTATTGTAAAGTCTAAGGACGCCTATATGCTCGTCTACGCTCGACGCGGGGACAAGCAACCGGAGCCCGAAGCGCCATCTCGAGAAGCACTGGAGGCCATCACTGCTGTCAACGAAGCCCATGATGGGAGGGTGGCGAAATACAAGGAGAAGTTCGAGAAGCTTAAGGCGGAATTCGATGCGCAACGCGACAAGATGCTTGATGTGTTCAGGACTTGGAACATAACGAACGCGAGACAGGTAAGCCGTCCTCAATGCCGCGCTCGATCCGATCGTTGACTTCGAATCAGCCTTCGGCGGTAGTCAGTCAGCATGCCCTTGAGGAGTTCGTCTCTCGCTCGTTACGCAAGCCCGACGTCAAGAAGGAAGCCAAGAAGATCGAGGAGGAGACTCCTGCGGACGATAAGGCTGCTTCTGAGCCGCCGTTAGAGGATACATCCGCTCTCGCCGAAGCCTCGACGGACGCCGACGTCAAGTCGTCCACGGACTCTCCGCCGCCGAATGTCGAGCCCGGGGACATCTCTGTCGCTGAAATCCTCTGCGAACACGGCAAACTTGATCCCTCCAAATGTGGCGAAATGAAGCGAATCAGCACCGTGAGATCAATACTTTCTCAAATGGGGCTGATGCTGACGTAGATGCAGGACGCATACGAGACAATGAAACAGAGTCTCGGTGTGCGCTTCGTGCCTGAGCTCACTCACGAAGACGTCTGTGAGGTATGCGTGAAGGAGAGCTTCCCGGGTAAGTGTTTGCATTCCGACGTCAGTCCTGTTTTTGGGCTCATGCTTGCCACAGAACGCCTGTATCAGCGTCAACATCCGAAAGATGTTGCGGCTGTCGAGTCGGAGCACTACGATCTCAACAGCATACAGTACTGGATATCAAAGGATTGGTACAAGGGTCAGTGCTGCATTGTAGCGTACTGCTCGCATCGCTGACACATGCGTCTTCAGACTGGAAGCAGACCAAGCCCAAGATGCACCTCGCTGGCCTGCCAGATCCCAGTCCGTCCGACGGCAAGTACCATGGCGACGTCTTCTGCCAGCACGGCGGCCTCCAAGCAAATCTGAACAAGCGGCAACGTATCAGCCCTTCGGCGTACGATCTCCTGCGCGGCCTCTTTCCCGGATGGACAACACTGAAGGCGGACGAGCCGCAGTGCCCAGTGTGTGATGCCATTAGCGATCGCGAGAGGGTGCATAAGCAGGAACAGAAGCAGCTCGCGGAAAAGGAGAGCTCACAACTCGGATATATGAAGGGAAACGCAGCGAATGGCAACACAGCGACTCTCGAGGGCGTGCCGCTCGCCGTTGTTCCGAGAGAGTTCGTCGACAACTGGAAGAAGTGGCTTCTTCGTCCGAACGGGCACCCTCGCCCAACACGCATTGACACCTCTGGCTATCAATGCAAGCATGGGAAGCTGAACTTCGATCCCAGTAAAGGCGACATGGACTCGACGATGTGTGTAATACGCAAGGGCGACTGGACACACCTCGAGAAGTGGTACTCCACAGGCCCGCTCATGTCATATACTCGGCGCACCGTGAACGGCGAGACCATCTTCGTTTGCACACCGGAGGTCTGCGAGGAGTGTCGAACCGTACGCAAGTCGACGTATGAGGTCGCGTCGGTGACCGTCCGCGTCCTGGCTGATGGCGATCCAACACCTACGCCCGGCGCGCCCTCCACCTCGGCGGTCTCTGCGCCTGACGGACAAACTAAGCTCACAACGTACGCCAGTTCTTCCAGGCAATCAAAACGTTTACGTCAGGGCGGGAAGCGTGTCGAGCGCACCATGCAGATCACGAAGGACATGTCTGTGAAGGACATCAAGCTGGCCGTACAGGAGGAGCTCAGAATCCACGTCATCTGTCAACGCCTCTTCTACGAAGGGCGCGAGCTCGAGGACAACGCTACTACTGTCGCCGAGATTGGGATCCTGGCCGGTTCTACGCTCGAACTCATCGAAGTGAAGGAGGACGACAGCATCATGGATGACGACGGCCCTCCCTCGAAGCGCCGGCGCGAGGAAGGCCCGGCCTTTGGCGGTACTCTACTGGGAGGCGGTGGTGGGAGCAGGGCCGACATCGCTTCAAGTGCTAGCCGGGAGCCCAGTGAAGGTGTCTTGGGGGATATGCCTAGCGAACTCCCACCTTTTGAGCTGCCACCTTCGAGGGACTCGACGACCCTCGCGGACAGCGCAAGTGAACGCGCGATATCGATACCACCGGAGGCAGTGCCGAAGGGCGTGGAGGATGTCTCTTTATACTGCCCTACGTGCACGTACCTTAACGAACCAACGGCCATCGTCTGCACTATGTGTGACCACAAGATTGACAAATGACCGCGTAGACTCGGGTTACTATAGTTCTGTTTCATTCCTGCTCTCGCTTATTGCTTTGTTCACTGCATGTATCACGACTGCTCTCTCATGATGTCCATATGTGTATTCGTAGCTACTTCGTGGAAATATCGAACAAGCGGTATCTTCGTGCGCCTATCGCGCGCGAGTCTTGACGACTCCGACGTGGTGTGCGCAGACGGTGCTCAGACGCGTCGCCTCGGACTAGCCTCGGGGACCCCACCCACGCCCGAACCGCGCCTGGCTCGCGGCGTTGAGCTTCCCTACCATGAACAAGGTCCTTGCTCGTTCTTGCATTGGCCTGAAACTCTTACTCTGAGATCCTGTATGTCCTATTCAGGCACTGAAGTTGACTATCTTGGCTTAAATCCCCCAAACTCAATCACATTGACACAGATTACATCTTTTAATCAGATCCTGAGAGCCTCTTCCAGCTGCATGATAACAAGCGGCAACTTTCTTGTCATCAGCGTCGCGGGGGTTCCGTGCGCGTAGAGCGCGAAGGCTAAGACAGTGCGCAATAGCCCGCAGGACGCCTTGTCCCGCATCGCCACGATGCAGGTCGAGTTCATAGACGCAGCGGAAGGCCAACACTGTGGCGGATACATCATACAGGAGGGAACCATTGAAGCTGTACATTACCAGCCCATTAATTTTGCTAGATGAAGATCCAGCTGTGTGAAAGCTCACTGGGGTACATAGGTATACTCACTTTGTTCATGCCTTACATCCCCTTCCCCTCTCAGTGATGATTATCTTCCCATTTTACACAACATTTCCTTCAACAGGGCCGAAATCAGTCTCAGATCAATCTCAGGGATCCTCAGTGCACATACCTTATCGTATCCTTCTCCGAGCCACTCGCACCGGCGCTACCGGCGGGGGG